AACTTCCAGCAACACAATCACAATGACTTCAATTACTTTCACAGAGTGATATTAAAATTATAAAGTTCCAATGACACATACACATTCATTTAGGCCTCCAGATGTTTGCACCAACACTAGCCGTGAAAATAAGTGTGCCCTATCAAATTAGGAAAGCTACCCATCAACATGAATGATCAAATGTGATTTATGATTTAGTTAAATTTATTTAGGAGGAAGAAATCAAATGATTTAGTTTGGGGTTGACGCACGTTCGGTGGGAATAGGTTCATATCTTATCACCCGCTGGCATTCTCGAAAAGACTCAAGTTTGGGGTTGACGCACATTCAAATACCTTCTCACACGCCACTCATCTATCTCCCAGACGAGATGTTTGGATCTTTTGCGGGAGGGTATCCATTCATGAAGAAATTCAAGAACCTTTGTCGGCTTCTTGGTCGTTCTCTACTACTGTTCTTGATAGACTGGTACTCGATGGCCTTCTACTTACTCGACTACATGGAGTTGTAGATGACAACCTATTTACTTTTAGGTAAAAATTCTAACTATCAATTTGTAAAATATCATGTTCTCGCTCAAACGAAAAGCGGGAGCGAGCGGACTTATTCTAGTACCGATTATTTGAAGCATTTTTCTGCGGAATGTATGGTCTAGGGATCTGAGCATTATAAAATTCATGTTCGTCATTCATAATGATCTCTAAGACTTAACTCAGTATTCTGAATGGTGATAGTTAGGGACAGACCAACACATTAAGGCAAAAGAAGACTCCAAGATACATCAATTAAAATTGAATTGTGCAACTTGAATACTATTGACAATTAATCTGAGATAAAATTAAAGAAACCTAAAGCAATCCAACTATAATGCAATAAAATAATTGAGAATCAAGGAAGTTTGATGAGTTATTGTTGAGATTAAGAAAATAAAGCAGAACACACGACCTCACTAAATGAAGTAGAGCTGATAATGATAATTCATTACAATCCAACTAACCATTGACAAAAAAACACTTGTTCAACATCCTAAAGTTCCAAGGAAACGAAAATGCAAAAAAATAAAAGACAACCATTATTTGAAATCGTCTATAGCAGACTGTGGAAGCAAGTATTCAACAGTACAATGTAACCTAATCATATTGCTGGCGAAACATCTGACTTCTTATCTTTGATTCTCTTTGAACGTGATAATAACGAGAAATGATGTGCTGGAATTTGTCGGCAAACTTGTGGGCAAGTTTCAAAATAGTTCCACAGTGTATGTTGTAGGGCGAAAGCAGCAAACAGAGTGCCATATTCATTCGAAGTCCTTCATCCACATACTATATTGAACAACATTGAGACCGTATAACAATTTGTTAATGCAGCAGGAAAAAAGTTTATTCAATTGATACAAAATATATCGTACCGGAACATCATAAGTGTCAAACAGCTCACCCCCAACATCCATTGACAGACCCACACTCCAGAATCTTGTGGGCTGTAACCCACCAAAAAATCAAAAATAAGATGCATTAAGAGCACAAAAGGGGATTTTTTACATGATATGAAGTAAAATTGAGATGATATGTACTTACGCATCTGCATAGGGTTCTCCATAAGGTTTGATAATGTCAAAATTTGAAATTTTAAGGATTTGTCCATCCACTAAGCACATAAGAGGAGCTAAGTTGTCCAAAAGTTTCATCTGTGGATAATACAGTGGAACACGGGTGAAATGCAGGATAAAGCTTATGAAAAGGAGTGTAAAAGGACAGTTTGAAACATATTGGCACTGCTGTTACAGCTTCTTCACGAATAGCTATGCGATCTTCCATGAAATATGGTTCTAAAATCACTACTTCTTTGGATTTCATATTGACAACCAACAAATACCAGTCACATTCATCCTTCAAGGGGATAAAAACCTAAGCAAATAGATGGACGATTACAATGCTACCTATGGAAACAACACTTATTAAACAAAGAATAAAATATAACCTTTTTACTCTTAGGTGAAATCTGTATGAACGAAAATTGGTACTTGTCCAATGCTTTTTCAGGGGTTAGATGTCCAGCCAACAAAGATGCCTATAATTGTCAGCGACATAAGAGTTACCTTTAATTTATGAAAGGTCAATCTTAAAATGAAATACACACAATCGGGGGGGGGGGGGGGGACTTTAAACTGAATAGGTGTTAGCGGTACCGAAAAATTTGGTGGCAAAAAACTCAGTTCCGCATTGTCCCCCAGCAATTGCTTGTGAATTAAATAGCTGCAAACCATCGTCAATACCTAAGAACACATACCAAAGAGAGATTGCATTAGGTTCAATTACAACTGTCAAATTAGGTTACTCACGGAAAGAGCTCACCTCATCTGTTGCCGCATTCCCTGGACAAAGGCTCAAGAACGCCTTTCGTTGACCTTGAATTTCAGCAGTGTGAACCAACATTTCATCTACCGAGAGACCTTTTCCAAACATATAACACGCTACCACGAGTTCATCATATTTCAGGTCAATGTGTTTTGGAATATAAAATTCCATAGATGTGATCACCTGTGTCATATAAAACTAATATCAGGCTTCTTTGTAAATTATGATTGAAAGTGAGATGCTACAACCACCAAAGGGATGGACAAGGGAAAGATTTATGGACTTTAAAATTTTCAGCAACAAATACATCTCAGAATCCATAGAAAATGTCATTGCAAGGGAACTAAGCAAACATATTTTCATATAGAAGCACCTGACCATCCCCTTGAGTTTCATTAACCACACTGAAGTGCAATTTTTGTGTACTCGTTAAAGGGTTTGATGGGCCTCGTTTTTCGTAGGCTGAATTGGTCTGGTTCTTTCTTTTCGTCGGAGTGAGGGGTGTATTGCCAAGGCATACTACATTGTCTGCCCCATTCTTTTCTTGCTCTGGATGACCTGGGTTACTTTTCTTATTTTCGTTCTTCCTATAATGGGAAGAGACAGTAGAAACAAAAGGAACATCGTCAAATACAGGCGAAGAGAAAACGACACCAACATGAACCAAGCACAGCCTAACGCATGCTGTAAAACAACCATACAAACGGTTCACAATAAACTCTTGCCGCCTTGAGGTCCACGTTGTTGTTCATTCTAAATGCTATGCTAGTTGAAACAAGACACTTGCTAATATGTACAATTTCGTGCAAGGGTCATGTAAAGGTTTTAGTGAAAAGAACACCATGAAGGGAAGGCAACGAGGATGGATATCACCCAACTGAACATGCAAGGGCCAAAAGAAAGGACGCAGAGCACAAAGAAAAAAGTGAGTACAAAACGTGGAGGTCCTTGATTTGTTGACGTTTATAAGGAAAACATCAATATTGAGAGTTTTTTTTTGGTTTGCATTACCAAAAAATTAATTTAACATTTATATTTTCTGTATAACTTCAGTCATCTTAAACTATACCAATTTAGTTTTTCAATTTTTGAATTCTTATTTATTGTCTTGGTTATATTAATTTACTTTAAATATTAATATATTTATTTATTATCTAGTTATATATATTGAAGGATTGTCATTTTTAACTCAAAAGGGATCGTTTGGAAGTTGGGATTTTAAATGATGTATTTAACAAATACATGTAATCAGAAGAATTCATCGTTTTTTATTTTAAACTAAATAGAATACTTGTATTTGAACTGCAGATGGGACCACCACAATCATTCATAATGAATGATTGTCAATCTAAGTTTTTAGCAGGGTTTGTGAGGGATTACTAACTCACTTTTTCTTTCTTATTTGTTGATGGACCACCAAAATCATTCATTCTCCAAACAATGTATTTTTCAAATCATACATTAAAACAATACATCTAATTATAATACATATATTGACTAAATACATCAATTTAAAGAATCTTACTTCCAAACATGCCCAAAAGTCCCTCATATGTAAGGATGGCAATGGGTCGGGTTGGGGCGGGGTTTGTCAAACCCAAACCCATGGGTTTATCCGCCAAAAAAACCCGGGGTAAAACCCGTTGGGTTTGAAAAACTCAAACCCAACCCAAGCCGCTGGCTATCCGCGGGTTCATGGGTACCCGTGGGTTTTTGTGGTAAAAAATTTAAAATAAGAAGTTTTTTTCAAAATAAAAGTTTAACATCAATTTTCTCATACAAATTATTCATACATAAAACACCAATCTAGAGCATACAAGCAAACCACAAATGATCAATACAAATTGTTCAAAATTAAAGTTAAACATATAAACATTAAGATTAATTGAAAGCTTCTTCCTCGTCAACTAAAATTTCTTCACTCTCCACTTCATAATATCAACTTCATTCTAAACAATTAGAATGAACAAATTATATATGTCTCCACAAACATAAAGAATATTAGTTGTTTAAGGAAGATATATTATTTAGAATATTAAATATTCCAGGAAAGTAATTATATGTATGTGTGCGGATACCCATGGGGCGGGTTTACCTAAACCTAAACCCAACCCGACTCGGTGAATAGTGTAGCGGGTTTAAACCCGAACCCGACCCAAAACCCATCAATACGGGTTTTACTCGCGTTAACCGGGTTGGGTCGGGTGGATACCCGTAGGTTCGGGTTTTGTTACCATCCCTACTCATATGTTATATGATGTAATCAGAGGCAAATCTTGAATCTTCGCAAATGAGGCGGTGACCAAATGATTGTATCACTGGTTTCAATCTGGAGCTCCCAAATTCAAATCTCAAAACGACGCTTGTTTCTCCTTTTCCCCATCCCCTAATAGCACACCCTGTAACAGGTTTCTATAAAAAGCTCTTTGGTATGGACTATTTAATTAGGCCCAAAAAAATATTCCAATTGAATTCTAAAAAAGGCCTTTGGAATGGGCTATTTAATTGGGGCAAAGAAAAGAAAATTGCAGAATGAGGCTAAGTGATCAACTTAGCGGTACGGCTTCAGAGAGGCCCAAAAGTGTAATCTTTTGCCTCTGTTTTTCCTGCACAACGCGCCAATCTAAAGCGGAAATGGGAGCACAAATGCACAATTATGCAATTTCCCATTTTACCTGCTACTCTTCTTCTTCTTCTATCTGCTCACCGTTCCATCCTATCTACACAAACAAGCAGCTTCCATCACTTGACCAACCTCAATTCTCCCCTCCCTCTCGCCGCGCCCAACTGCTTGCTTAATTCGTGAGGGAAATTAAATTCCAAATGTCGGAACTGCCCATCTGGGTAGTCAAAATTTCCTCCCTTTGCCCAACCTTGGTCGCGCATGGCTGCTCGCACCTCTGAGCTTCAGCTCCAGCCGGCTAACAAGTTCATGGAAGTATCCAACGCTTGGTCTCGGCAACCCCATCACGTATTCCTCACTCCGCGCTCTCTTTCTTGTCTTTTGGGTTCCAGGAAACCCTGGTCGAAGTAAGCCCCACATCATGTTTGTGAAAATGCTACAGAGAGACTAGAATTGAGAAGTTGGTTGTCCTGATATCTTATCTAACTCTCCTTGAACCAGGTGCACGTGCCAGCGGATATCCCTTGACAATGCACGGAGATGTAGACTCCGTAGCACTAGGAGTCGCTATCATTTCAGAATTCCGGTAATGTCTGCAAAGAAAGGTGAGTTCTTGGCTGTTCCAATCTCTCTACGCTATATGTTCATTAAATTTTGGAGGTACTTCGCTATGAACTAGAATGGCTGATAGGCTTGGCACATTCCAACGTCTTCAGGCAATGGTTGTGTTTCCTCGGAAAGACTATGTGAGGTAGTTTGGACTATTGAAGCTGATTTGCCAGATGGTCAGTCACTGTACCTTACAGGTGAACTCACTCAGTTGGGATGTTGGCATCCTGGTAAGGCCATCCAAATGTTCCCTACCGAACACTCAAATTTGTGGAGAGCTCAAATGAAGGCAAGTTAGTTCATCTTGTTTGTAGCTAAGCCTCGATTTCTAGTTCTGTCTTTGAGATTATATCTTCCATGAACACTCTGATATGTAGCCGGGCCCAGAAAAAAAAAAAAAAACCGACTTCGATCATCATAGCTTGTGCTGCAGTTTGAATAAAAGAGGGAAATCGCTGGTTCAAATGCCTTCTAGTCTATTCACATCATCCTTAGTTTAGTCTCTTTGGATCCATATTTATTCACCCTTTGTCAATTGCAGATTGCCCCCGGGAACTTCAAATATAATTATTTCATGACGAAAGAAAGGTCAAATTTATCTGACATCAAATGGAGAACGGGTCCTGAAGTTTCTTTGTCAGTACCATTCAATGCCAATCAGGATAGCAGAGTTCTGGTGAGGGATTCATGGAGGAAGTTTAGTACTGCAAGTCCTCCAACTCATGGATGGGATTCTTGGATAGACGATGCATATCTAACTGTCCAACCATTGCCTGCGGCTCTACCGACAGGTAATATTTTTTCGTGGCAGCCACGGGTAAGAAAGTTCCTTGCTTAGTATGTTTCTGAACACTCAAATGTGTCCAGCGCTTTGACAGATGAACAAGAGAATCTGAAGAGAATTATGTTTGATATAAAAGAAGCAATGCACTCGCCAAAGTGGAAAATCAAGGATACAACCTATGAAAGAGACCAACCTATTGAAGAGCCATGGTTACCCCTATCATCCACTGTATTTATTGTCTATGAAGACAAGTCTATTCCAGATATATCAGGACGTATAGAGGATGATGTCTCAAAAGTGGATGTTGACATCCAGAATTACAAATCTCCAGATCGGTTGCCACCTGCAGACGTGAGCAATCTGATTTTGAAGGAAGATTCAGTATCTACCATCATATTGATTAATTCTTCTATATGTACCATGCAAAGGATTGCTGTATTAGAAGATGGGAAATTGGTTGAGTTACTGCTAGAACCAGTTAAAACTAACGTGCAGTGTGACAGTGTGTATTTAGGAGTTGTTACGAAACTCGTCCCACATATGGGTGGGGCATTTGTGAATATAGGAAGTCCAAGGCCTTCTTTCATGGACATAAAGCAAAACAGAGAACCATTTATATTTCCTCCCTTTCGCCAAAGTAGCAATAAAGAAGAGGAAAACGGTTCTGTGCTTGAAGCTTGTGAAGAAGAACATACTGCTGCTAGTGAGAATGAACACATTTTACCTGATGTTGAAGAATTTATCTCTCGGGGTGATTTAGTTAATGACGAGGAGCATGATATTGATGATGATTTTGACACTATGGAAGAGAAGGAACATCTTAATGGGAGTGTAGTGGATCTTGGAGAAGCAGAAGCTCACTTTGGGAATTTCTTGGATTTAAAAAACCATCTGCTAGCTGAAACAACTGATGGACCTTTCGACTCTTTGATTTCTCATTTACAAGATACCAATGCATCAAAAAATGGAAACAAGTGGATCCAAGTTCGAAAAGGCACCAAGATTATTGTACAAGTTGTCAAGGAGGGACTGGGTACAAAAGGCCCTACATTGACTGCTTATCCAAAACTGAAGAGCAGGTTCTGGGTATGTTTAGCTTCTCTTTCCCTTTTGTCATGACACCAAAGTACACTTGCGACATTAATCGATTTGGAGTTGCAGATATTGAGCACCCGGTGTGACAGAATTGGAGTTTCAAAAAAAGTCTCGGGGGTTGAGCGAACTCGTCTAAGGGTCATAGCGAAGACTTTGCAGCCACCAGGTTTTGGTTTAACTGTGAGGACTGTTGCTGCGGGCCATTCCTTAGAGGAATTGCAAAAAGATCTAGAAGGGTTGCTGGCAACTTGGAAAAATATAAAGGAGGAAGCAAAATCTTCTGCTCTTGCTGCAGATGAAGGTGTTGAAGGGGCTATTCCTGTGATACTACACAGGGCCATGGGTCAAACACTCTCTGTTGTACAGGACTACTTTAATGAGAAGGTTATTTATATTGATGTGCTTCTGCATTTACATCTATCATCTCTTATGGCTTTTTCCAGCCATCAAAGTTTCCTTGTTCATGATATTTCATATGCAGGTTCGGAAAATGGTGGTTGACTCTCCAAGAACATATCATGAGGTATGCTGTTGGTTACGTATTAAACAACTTTTAGTGGGATATAGTGAGCCTCTGATTATGCTGCCATTTTCTGTCCCTTTCTTCAGGTAACAAACTACCTTCAAGACATTGCTCCCAATCTTTGTAACCGGGTTGAGCTACATGGTAGAAGGACGCCTCTCTTTGATGAATTCTGCATTGAAGAAGAGATCAATCACATCCTCAGCAAAAGGTAATGGTTTCTTGTCTCTCTTGTGTCATGTTGTTGGCGGTCTTGGAGTTCGTCACTTATTCTTTTCATTTTCTTGACCACTTTAATTAATGGTACTTGTTTTTGTGTTGCAGAGTTCCATTAGCAAATGGTGGCTCCCTGGTAATTGAACAAACAGAGGCTTTAGTGTCTATTGATGTGAATGGCGGACATGTGATGTTTGGTCAAGGGACTTCACAAGAGAAGGCTATTTTAGATGTCAATCTTGCAGCTGCCAAACAAGTATGTCACACACCAAATAGTAATTCAGTTTGTTTGCTGAAACCGGTTTGCCTGCATGTTAGCTAATACATTCATCAGTGATCTTATTAACTTGCTCTAGTCCTATGACCCTTGGGCAGAATAGAAGTATAACCAAACTCTTCGTTTCCAGATTGCAAGGGAGCTGCGGCTTAGAGACATTGGTGGTATCATTGTGGTAGACTTTATAGACATGGAAGATGAGTGTAAGCTAGAAGTTCTACCTCTCACTCTCTCAACTCAATGTCTGCTGCATTTCATCTCATCGAGTGGAATAGTCAGGATTGGCAACTCAAGATTTTGTTTCTAAACAACCCTGTTGGCAACAAAATGCTTCATTCCAATTCCTAAATATTAGACATTAATCCTTCCTTAGCTACTGTGAACCTAATGCTTTCCATACTGTAAATGAGTCCCTGGAATTCGTAGTATGCCTGTTTGTTGTAAATAGATTGCTATATTTCTCTGTTATTTTTCAGCAAACAAGAGGCTAGTCTATGAAGAAATGAAGGAAGCTGTGGAGCGAGACCGGTCAACAGTGAAGGTCTCTGAATTGTCGAAGCACGGACTCATGGAAATAACCAGGAAGAGGGTATAATGCTTATAAATTTATAATCCTTATTCTACCATCTTGTACTCCATGCCTGTTCAAGGAGAATCTCTTGCGTCAACAAAGTCCATTTGAGCCTTCAATCTCCAATATAATTGAGATGAATGAGAAAATGTGGGAAACAAGACTAAACTCGCAGGCTAGAATGGGAATAATTGCACCAGAAGTCCAGAGCATTAGTACTGACATACTGCAAATGTTTTTGACAGGTTCGACCGAGTGTGACTTTTATGATCAGTGAACCATGCTCTTGCTGTCATGCTACTGGAAGAGTTGAAGCTTTAGAGACATCCTTTTCCAAGATAGAACAAGAAATTTGCCGGCAGCTTGTAAGTGGAATCTTCTATGTTTGAATGGTTATTTGATGGATATCTGTGAATCTCAGTTTATTTCTCTGTTACCTTTAGTGATAATGTTCTTGCTTCCCATTTCTCCTCAAGGTGATGATGGAAATGAAATCAGACCCGGAAAACCCAAAGACATGGCCAAAATTTATATTAAGGGTCGACCAGCATATGTCTGACTACTTAACTTCAGGGAAAAGGAAAAGACTTGCAATCTTGAGTAGCTCCCTCAAAGTCTGGCTACTTCTGAAGGTATGCGGGTCTTCTTTGTACTATGGAGTGTTGTTAATCCGTCATTTGGTACTTGAGCGGCCAATATTAATTAATGATGGTTGGATTGAGGGGTGAAAGACGGATTTCTAGCATGTGAAATCTGACATATGATGCATGAGTCTACCACATTAGTAATGGATTTGAACAAATTGACTAAAAGGGAAACAATACAGTAGGAGACTTAATTGTTTAAATTCATAGTTCAAGGACTTCTGTTGAACAGCGTAGTACATGGATGAGGAATGATATTAACCCTTGAAAAACATGAAGCAGCTCTGTTCATTGGTATCAGAACTTACTGACAAAACACTTGAAAAAGTCACATTACATATATTATGATCACTGGAATTTGGATTCAGGTTGCTAGAGGTTTCACAAGGGGAGCATTTGAAGTGAAACCCTTCACAGACGAGACAGCAAGCAAGAATCAGCATCAGATTGCCATACAAGTCATCCGACGAGCTGAAGCCAGAACGAGTAAGTCTGGCAGAAAAGTAACGCTTTTTCCCATCAAGAAGAACAAGACTACTGGTGGCAGATGAAGAAGTTTCCTGAGGCAGTAATAGAGCACATTCATGCAGAGAACATGATGACACCTTTTCTTGTCTGAAATGGTCTGTCTCTTTGAGAGGCAACTTTTTGGGTGCAGAATACAGCTTGCTCCAGTTGGTCAACTAGCAAACTTGCTCGAGAAATTGTCACGATAGATACAGATCAAACAAGTTATCAGCCAGGTAATATTTGGCAGAATGAGCACAACTGATCTAAATAAGCACAGTGAGCAAGTTTAGTTTCTCACTGCTCTTAGAAGTAGAGCTTTCCCTTCACTTATTCCCCAGGTGTTTACGCCCTGGACAGGTACACAACATCGTTGTTCAGCATTAAAGAAATGTACCAGCGGTTTAGTTTTATTCATTCCTATACGAGAAATATGTCGAAACTTGATATTGCCTTGACTAAACTTGCCCTCACGTAGATCCAGTTAACAACATCAAACCTGTGCATATACACGATCCATTTCAGACCCTTAACTAACCGAGACGGCCTTTCAGTCTTCCTCGTCTTCATTATCATCATCCGATAATAAAGCTTGGAATCTGTTTTTGACAGCACTGTTATTATCATGCTGCTGATGATTCTTGATGGTCTTCTTTGGTAGTTTGGTGTCCAGTGTTGTTGCTTAGTTTGTATTGCGAAGCAGGGGATCCCGTTTCCCGTTTCTTGGGTTGTATTATTCATTCAGGCTTGCTAGCCGAACCTTTTCAATCTTCCTCGTCTTCTTCATTATCGGCATCAGATAATAAAGCTCGGAATCTGTTGTGACGGACGTTTTCAACAATGTTATTATCATTATGATGATGATGATGATGATTCTTGTTCTTGACAGTCTTCTTTGGTAATGTCCAATAGTATGGATCACCAGTTTCATTTGCGGTGCCGAGTAGGTACCTTTCCCGTTTCCAAGCCTTCTTCTTCCTCCTGTCATGATGCTTTCTGTGTAGCTTTGAAATATCCCTGCATGGATGATGAGTAACAGCAACCATAATATACAGATGATAGTTTAGTACAGTAACAGCAACATAGAGAAAAGAGGCGATGCTAGCTTTTGATTACCAAGGCATGGGGAGGAACCAAAAAAATGAGGAGCAACTCTTTTCGTCACTAGTACAGCACTGAAGATCACTTCTTTCGAACCTCCGATTAGCAAGATGGAAGACGCCGTTCCAACCACCGCATCCAGATCTGCGCTGTCGCCGCGTTCTACCACAGCAGCCCAAGGCAAAGTAAATACGGTTGCCTCTATCCGCCCCATTACCTACCATGGTGGTAGAGGCGGCGGCGGGGAGGCAAAACGATTGATGGCCGCCGATAAACACAGCGCACCCATTCAAACTCCTCACTTCTTCCCAGTAATACTTACTGCTACTGCTGCTGCTGCTACCGCCTTCATTAGCAGCAGGCGTGACTACCACCAGCTTGTACACCTGGTGGTAATATTCGCGGCAGACTACGTGGAGCTCTCCGTCGAGTTGGAACAAGTGATAACAAGCCATTCTTTCACGGACGTGGTATTCGTCGTAATTGTAGTAAGAGTCAGAGTCAGAGTCGTCGCTACAACATGATATCATAGCTTCGGAGAATGAGAATGCTCTAACGACAGGCGAAGCAGCAGCAGCAGCAGAATCAGAAGAGCCGAGCCTGCGATAATCGATGACGTAGATGCGGCGACAGTCTACGACGTAGAGATTACCTCCAAAACAGATGGCGTCGTGTGGGGATTCGAAGATGTGGGAATCCTTGCTGCTGCTGCTGCTGCTGCTCAAGTTCCAACATTGTTCACTCCCGGAGGAGACGTTGCACCACGCGAGCTGGGGATCCGACGTGGACAGAATGATGACGTGGCACTCTTCGTTGTCGTCGTCGTCAGGGGAAGAAGAGATGATGGCTTTGCAGATGAGGGTGGTGGGGGATGAATGTTGGAGAGGAGGCAGAGGGATGGAGGCGCCTGTGATTGGGTTCAGGAGGTAGAGTTCGAGAGCCCGACCGGCCGGAGACCGAGGATGCGTAACAGTGCGGAGGATCCAGCCATCCTTGGAACCCAACGACTGAGCAGCAGCATCTTTGAGATTGTTATAGTCGTCGTCGTCGGAGGAGTGAGGATCGAAGGAGGTGAGCAGATCGTCGAGGAGGCGGAGGTAGCGCTGGCGCTGGCCTTGGGCGTCTGAGATCTTGGATGGATCTGGCACGAAAGGGATGGCGCGTGGTGGTGGTGATGGTGGCGGTGGCGGTGGCGGTGGCGGTGGCCATGACCACGGCCGCGGTTGAGGTTTGGCAGGGAAGAGCGCGACTAGGGGATAAAACTGATGGGTTTGGCCGCTGTCATAGTACGCCTCGAGTGCGGATTGGGGTGCGGTGGTGGTGGCTTTCGATACGACCAACCACGGCAGGCAGCGTAGCCGGCCGCCGTGGAGACGGAGGGCGGTGGATCTCCATGATGTGCAGGTGCGGGAGAAGGCGACGAGCTGGGGGAAGGTCTCCAAGTGCTCCTTCACGATCTTCTCGGCTATGTCCTCCGGCAATTGAGAGTAATTCATTGAGGCCGCGTCCGTACGCTTGGTCGTCGTCGTCGACGACGAAGATAACAATAGCTAACCCTCTCTGCGGCGGCTGCCGGAGGCGTAACAGAGCGAACTAATCATTTTATTGGCTAGCTAGGGTTCCGATTGAGTTGATCCGCTGCTGCCGCTCTAAAAGAGTTTTTGCAGTTTTTCTTCTCCCGTGGTTTGTTCTCACCTTCGTTCGCTAATAATCAGCTACACTACCCTATTTCTAATAAATTGTGATGGAGGAGGTTTGGAATTTGCAATAAAAAAAAAAGGTTGGGTTGAGATTGTCCTATAAAATAAAATCATGGATGGCTGAGATTGAAAAAAAATTAAATTTGATTCAGTGATCATCTTTTGTAGAGGGATAAGAAAGAAAAGTAGGACGAATAAGGGCCTGGTCTCGAGTGATGTGATTAGGGCTGCAAATGAGCCGAGCTACTCGCGAGCAATTTGAGGCTCGAATCGAGAAAAACTCGTTCGAAATTCGACTGGTTTACTAACGAGCCAAGTTCGACTCGGTGGCTTGTTGAGCTCAACTCGTGAGTTGGCTCATTTAGAGCTCATGAGATGTCTCAACGTTGTGGTTTGATGGCCAACTTGATCACCGATATATGGACGAATCGATCTAATTTGGACTTTCATAATTCATAGGATAGTTAAATTATATATCTCACATCATGTGAAGTTTAACATGTTGAACATGTAAGAAAATATACCTTATTTTTAATTCTATAAAGAAATCATGTACAAAATTGTTTCGATACTATGAAATAACATAATTTGAACTAGTTAAAATTTACTAACTAAGCAATACAACACCTACAAATTATAATATAAGATTTATTAATGTTGAACATTTGATTATTTATTTATCGTTACATCAATCACATGTACCATACACGACATACAAAATGAATGTATCAAATACAATCTAAGAATTTAGTAAACAAGCTTAGCACGAACTCGACTCGGCTCGCCTCGTTAATAAATGGCTCGAGCTCGAGCTCAGCTCATTTGTTAACGAGTCAAACTCAACCTGGGGTAAAACTCGGTTCAGCTCGGTTCATTTGCAGCTCTAGATGTGATGGGTCGGGTTTAATAATTTTTGAGTTAAATTGTGCCGATTAGACAATTTCATTTTCCACGTAAGCAAATAACTAATTCCATTTATGAAGTTGGACGGAGACTAGGGGTGAACAAAAACACTAGTAACCCGACCCAACCCACCCGTTCAACTCGACCCAACCCACTCGTATTTATCGCTAAAAGTAAGGTTTAGTGTTGGATGAGAGTTTTCATTCGTACAACTCGCCTCTTTTGGGTTGGGTGTGGATTTTGGATTACACAACCCGTAAAAACCGACCTAATTCGGATTTCAACTATTGGTATGAGTTCGTATCTAAAAAATATTTTTGTCGTATATAAGCATATTTGTGAGAAAATAAAAAATTAAGATATTTTTGCATGTTTTCTCTTGTGATCTCCCTCAGGGTCGGAGCTACGTTGTCCCTAGGGTGGGCCTCAACCCCCGAGACCACATCTGTCATAACTATTTTGCTTTACTAACTTCTTATACTTTAATGCCACCTCTTTCTATTTAGTTTAATTAATTACAAATACCAATTTTCGTTACCAATTCCAATTCCAAAACGAAACCTCTTTTTATTTAGTTTAATTAATTCCAAGTCCCTATTTCCGTTACCATTCCCAAAACCAAACGAAAAGAGTGATAGCCAAAAGTAAGTCCGGGAACGTGTTTGTGAAGCCTACTTTGTAGCTCAATTTGACAAGCATGGATGAGAGTCGAGTCCAGAGGCCTCTACCAAATGAAAGTATATATGTTTGTATACAAAAGCAAGCCATTAGATGAAATATTGGATATCTGGAAGATTTCGAACAAAAGTCTCGAATTTGCTTAAAAATTATTTTTTCCTGATAGCTGGCTTGTGCTAGAAAGCAACAAAGTAGTCGCCAAAAGCTCAATATCTGCTTTCTTCAAAACCCTCTTACTACCTTTTTTGTTTTTTTGTTTTTTTACCATCCTTCCTCTTCCCCTCTCTCCTTCTAATCTTCCTTAGCATCATCATCATCCTCCTCGTCGTCGTTGGATAGCAAAGCTCGAAATCTGTTGGTGCGGGTAATATTATTATGATCAGCAGGATGTTTCGGGTTCCTGACGGCTCTCTTCGGCAGCTTCCAGCACTCTGATCCGGGAAGTAGCCGCTCCCGTTTCCATGCCTTCTTCTCCTCCATATGATGTTTGTCGTGTAGCTTAGAAATATCCCTACATGCATGGTACGTACGTAGTGGTAGATATATATATATATATACCCTTTCAGACGCAATGAGATGCGTCCCAAGAGAATGATAATAAATCTAACAAGTAGTCCAGTTAATTAATTACCAGGTCGTAGGAAGGAACCAGAAAGAGGGAAACGTATCGCGGTATCGGTATCTATCGTCCCGACGACGCAAAGCAAAGCTCTCGAACTTTTGATTAGCAAGATCGAAGACGCCATCCCAATTCTGGCCTCTCAACCAGCACGGCCCCGGGCGGGTATGATCCAACGCCATGTAGATGTGGTCGCCTTTCACCCCGCCGCCGTCGGCAGTGGCAGCCGGGATCGAGAAAGATTCGTGCGGCCCTATGAACACACCATGTCCATCCAAGCTCTTTACTTCTTCTTCCCAATAGTAACTACCAGTAGTGTCGTCGCCGTTGCTGTGCAGCTTGAAGATCCGGGAAAGGATGGATCCCGATTGGTCGTCTTTGCTTAGGATGACGAGGAGTTGCCCGTTCAGTTCACACAAGTGGCAATACCTGTTAGAAGTAAGAAGTTTATGTCATGTAAATCAAGCTCAAACTGAAAGAACAACACCGAATTAATGTGGTATCCTCAACGAGTATCGTTGAGAGTACTAATCCACAGAGAGGACCAACCGATCTCAGAGTCAATCGTATAAGCTTATGGAATTGAGTTCTTGAGTAGCTGTCAACACATATATACCTAGCTGCCCTAATCCAACTAAGGCTCTAAATGTAATTAAGCAAACTACTACATAATTAAATATTGCTACATAAACTTCTTAATTCTAACAATACCTCCACTTTTCCTCGGACATAGCTTCAGAGAACGGGAATGAACTCATGAGATCCGGCGACGTTATATCAAAGACGAGGACACGGCCGCTGTTCACGACGACGTACAGGTTGCCGCCAAAGTAGACTGCATCTACTGGGTAAGAAGAGGGCCAAGAGGCCCTACCAAAATGATTCTCGCGGTCGTCCATGAATCCCCAACCTTGTCCAGAATGTTCGTCGTCTTCAACATCGATGAATCCCCAACCAGCTTGTTCTCCTCCTCCTCCTACTACTTTGCACCACTCTACTCTCAGATCCCGACGAGACAAGACGAACACGTGGCAATCTTGGTCGTCGTCGTCAGGGGAAGAGGAGATGATGGCTTTGGAGATGTGTCGTGCGTAGTAATAGCTTGGAAGCGGAGGGAGAGGGACGGATGCGCCGGTGAATGGGTTTAGCAGGTATAGTTCCAACGGCCGGCGGTCGTAACCGTCCCGTCGGGAGCGGGGGCGGGAGCGGAGGATCCAGCCGTCTTTGGAACCCAAGCTGCGAGCAGATAATCGCGACTTGTCGTCGAACGAGTACTCGCCGTCGAACCAGAAGGGGGATCGGTGTTCGTCTTCGTCGGCGTCTAGTAATTTGTCGACTGCATTGCGGTGGAGGTGGCGGTAGTGGTTGCGCTGACCAAAGGCATCGGATACCTTGTTCGGAACAGGGAAGAAAGAGAGAGCGGCGCGTGGTAGAGCGGCGGCGGCGGGGGAGGTGATGGAGGCGAGGGGGTAGAACTCGTGGATGAAGTCGCTGTTGTAGTACGCCGCGAGTGCGTTTTGCGATTCGATGTGTTCGGGTACGAGCAATCCCGGAAGGCATGGTCGGCGGCGGCTGTGGAGCCGGAGGGCGGTGGATCTCCATGATCTGCAGACCTTGGAGAAAGCTAGGAGCTGGGGAAAGGAATTTAAGTGATCCCTCGCCATCTTCTCTATCAACTCCTCCGGCAATTCAGAGTAATCCATTGCGGCCGGCGAGATATGAGTGTATCGGCTCTCTGCGCGGCGGCAGGAGGTATATAGCCAGGCACAAGAAATCAAGAATTTTGCTTTTAACTAGCTAGCTAGGGTTAATGTGACATATATACTATATCACTCTAGATCTCTACGCTGAGAGTTATAAAAGACCGCTCCGAGTTTGGGGGAAAGAAAAAAGTACACGAAAAATTAGGGTTTCGTCAACAACATGGCGACAAGGGATGACAATTGACACCTGTTTGTATCCAATTCGAATCAACCGATCAAAGTAGGTAAAATTAAGTGTTGACGTATTTAGGTGGGGTTCGAGTTTTACTCGCTACTGAAATTGGTGGGTTGGGTTTTCCCTAAACCCAATCCGCTTTCCACCTGATCCACACCTATAAAGCAAATGACATCATTTTGTATATAACCAGAAATAATAAGGATAATTTATAAATATTATTAATCTTTATAGTAATATAAACCAAATAGTATAGATAATTTATGGATCGAGATATTTATAGTGAAAATATCACAAAAATTACAATGTGGATGTGTTAGAAGAAATAAAGTATTGTTATATTTGTGAACCCACGGGTGCCCCTTGGCCATGATTCAGGAAACCGTACCGCACATCATATCGGATTTCATTATGGTAGGGTATTTTGTGGTACGATCGTGGTTCAACCGTTTCGTACCGGTAACGATTTTATAATAATAAAATAATTTTTTTATCAAAATACCTTGCTGAAAAAATCAAGATACAATTTCGGAATAATACCGACTGTACCTGAATATACCGGACAATAAATACTAAACAATCATATAAATAACAAGAAAATTAGTCTTTTTTTATTTATTCAAGGGGAATTGAAGTTTCAATGTGGTAAATAGCTAAAAAGGAAGTTTCATACACATCGCTTCCTTCCTCTTCATTCTTCTTCCGCGTTCGAGCAGTCGGCCAAATGACGGTGGCAAGCGGCGATGGGATGGCCAGGAAGCGTGATGGCCTGGCACAACGGATGTGGCCGGCGCGCGGTGGAGAAGGAGCAGTGGCCGCGGTGCGAAGGCGGCGACGAGGCTTAGCTAGTCGTCATTTCCTTGCAAACACGCTACCGCCGGTATGTTCAAAACCGGCCGGTATTTCGCGGCCGACCGGTTTAATCGAAAAACTGGCCGATACAATATTTCTACCCCTAACCACTTATCGTTTCGTTTCTAGTTCGGTTTCCGGTTGAACCAACCGGTACGATCCGGTTTCCTGTTCCATGCGCTTGGCTTTGTTGGGTTGGGTATGGTTTAATCAAGGCACCCGTTTGGTTGGTTTTGGTTTGTAAAGAAAGCTGACCCAACCCGATCCATAGTCATTCCTAATGGAGGTGACATACCATGTAAGCTGCGTAACTCAATTTTTTTATGAAATTTTGACCAAACCAACAACCGAAAATTGGATTGGATGGAATACGTTTTTAACCGTAACAGGACGGGATTTCAGTCCAGTCTGGAGACAGCAAGATGGGCACTCATCGCCAGTGGCCAGTCTGTCTCCGTGGTCTCGCTATCTTCTCTATTAACTCCTCCGGCAATTCCATTACTGCCGACGACGAGAGAAATAATATCAAATATTGGCTCTCTGGGCGGCGACCGGAAGGAGCTAGGGTAAAATTGAACTAAAATTCGGATGAAATTATGATTGAAGTTAATAGCTTCCAGACTTATTGTTATAAACGCGCTGCTACGGATCTGGAAATCGCCAGAATCGACAAAGCAAGAATACGAAAGCGAGAATCGAAAACACGACACACGATTTACGTGGTTCACTAACACGATGTGTGTTAGCTACGTCCACGGGCGAGAGAGAGCCGATTTCACTATATCAAGGAGATTACAGATTACAGAGGAGTATAAGAAGTATTTATAGTACTTCTCCATGTGGGTCTAAACCTAATCCAATCTGCCAAAGGAAACGGTTACAGACCAGGCTCAGAACCCGAACCCAAATAACATTGAGCCCATACACCGTGACTTGAATCCTCTTCCTCTGAAATCTCCACCTTAACTTGAATCCTCTTCCTCTGAAATCTCTGATGTACTCTGCTCCTTCTCTCTCTCCCGTCATCAATGCCCCGTAGGGCGGAGTCACCCACTCAAGACATTCAGCAAGTCCAAGCAGTGTTGGAACTTGCCATGTGGAACCGGCTTTGTGAACATATCAGCAGGATTATCCGCGGTGCCAACCTTCTTCACCTTTATCCTCTTCTCTGTCCTCAAGAAATGATACCTCACATCGATGTGCTTAGTCCTCTCATGGTGGACTTGATCCTTGGCCAAGCATATTGCACTCAAACTGTCGCAATACACCACTGCCTGATCATGATGTAGACCCAGATCACCAACCAGTCCCTTCAACCATATTCCCTCCTTAGCAGCTTCTGTCAATGCCATATACTCTGCCTCAGTAGTAGACAATGTCACCGCCGACTGCAAAGTTGCCTTCCAGCTCACTACAGAACTCCCAAGAGTGAATACATAACCGGTCATCGATCTCCTCGTGTCAACATCTCCAGCATAGTCCGAGTCAGAATACCCAGACACCAAGCACTCTGCATCACTTCCGAAGCTAATCCCCACATCAGGTGTACCCTTAAGGTACCGGAAGATCCTCTTCACAGCCTGCTAATGCTCCTTCCCAGGTTGTATCATGAACCTGCTGACAACACTAACAGCATGTGCAAGATCAGGTCTAGTGCATACCATAGCGTTCATCAAGCTACCTACTGCACTAGCATATGGGACTCTCGACATGTACTCCTTCTCAGCCTCTGACTGCGGTGCATAAGCTGAGGATAGATGAACATTTGAAGCACTAGGAGTATTTAAGGGCTTTGTTGAAGACATGCCAAACCTCGACAGTATCTTCTGGATGTAGCTCTTCTGTGACAAGAAAAGCTTCTTCTTCGACCTGTCCCTTTAAATCTCCATACCCAAGATCTTCTGAGCAGCTCCCAAATCCTTCATCTCAAACTCAGCACTGAGAAGCCCCTTTAACTTCTGGATATCAGACTTTGACCTCGCAGCTATGAGCATATCATCCACATACAGAACTAGATATATCATCGAACCATCCTCTGCCTTGCTGTGATATACACAACAATCATATGGACTTCTACTGTAGCCCAGCTCAAGCATGTAACTGTCAAATCTCTTGTACCACTGCCTCGGAGATTGCTTAAGTCCATACAAGGACTTCTTCAGCTTACAAACATAGTCTTCTTTTCCAGGAACCTCGAATCCTTCTGGCTGAGTCATGTAAATTTCTTCCTCCAACTCTCCATGTAGGAAAGCTGTCTTCACGTCTAGCTGCTCGAGCTCCAAGTCATAATGTGCCACTATTGCTAGTAGCACTCTGATCGAAGTATGTCTGACCACTGGTGAG